ATGTTTTTAAGCCATTAGACTTCCTATAGATACTCAAAGTTAATAATTTATCTTTTCTAATCTTTAGAAGTATGTTGCTTTCAAGACAAAGTTAGAACTCAAATACAAGAGTTTGATCCATTGTTCTGAGATATCTGGTCTTTTCACTCATTCAACAAATATTGAATTGAGCACCTGCTAAGATCTACGTAATCTTCTAGGTGCAGGAAGTGATGTATTTAAATAAACAACAGAATTTATTTTTGGTGGGTGTGGGGGACAGTGGCAAACAGATCATAATACCAAAATAAAATAAAAATCAGACAAAACAGTATTAGATAATGCCAAGTGATATGGAGGAAAAAAATCAGAGAAGACCACTTGTGATGGGGCCTTATTTTATATATTTATTCTATTACTTTCTACTCATTGTCTTTCAAAATATATATGTCATTAAACCAAGTCATATTTCATAATTAACTTTGGGGTCAAAACTTCTGGGAGATGCCAAGCCTCCTGCCTTGTGCCCACCAGTTTCAGTCTCAGCTGAGACTCCTTTCACTGTAGTCACTCTCTCTACAGAGGGAGAATAACAGCATATTTCACGACCTAGTGGGAGAGGGTTAAATCAGCTGTTTCTTGTGCCATTTTCCTTCTTTTCTGGAAGTCTCTACAAAGTTCCAAGGAATGGAATTCCCAAAATTCCCCAAATTTTGGGAATCCTCTGGAATGCAAGCAAATTGTTGAACATTTTTCTTTCTCTAAAGAGGTCATAGAAGTTTCATTAAATTTGTGAAGAGGTCTATGAATAAAAATAGTTAAAAATATGTGCTGTCTTTGAAGTAAATATCTTTTAAGATAGCAAAATAAATTCTAATTCTATAGTCATGTTTGAGGGTAGATATTTACATAAATTATTTGAAATTCTTTGGCCTGAGCTATTTATTTATTCTTTTTCACATCTTCCCTCCCTCCCTCCTTCCCTTCCTTTCTTTCTTCCATCATTTCATTTTATTATGAGTATGGATTCAAGTATACTTCCTGTTTTTTATTAAGATGTTGTGAGGGGTTCCTAAAAATTCTGAAGTGTAGATTATGTCCTCCTATACTTCCAAGTAGGTGTTAATTTAATTACACATTCTTAGTTTAAATCAACAATCTGTTAAAATATTTGTTATGTTTGGCAACAAATAATTCAAAGTTATATACGAAAAATATGGAATGTTTCCATCACAAGGAACAGATTCATATTGAGCAAATAATTGCATTGGTGGGTAAAATATATGTAACATCCTTCAACATTTGAGTACTTACCATGTACATGTGTTAGGAAAGGCATTGTGGGCACTGGGGAAACAAGATACACTGAAGAGCACAAAGACAGGATTCCTCCTCAAAGAGCTGACATAAGAAGTTTGCAAACTTCTAAAGGAATTTATTATTAAAGTAATTAATAAATTAAAGATACAACATAGGTACATAATCTCCAAGGTTAAGTCATTGTGCTTTTTAGCAACAATAACTGTTTAACATGTTTGACCCCTGGGATAAAACTGGGGAGCATGAACATTGGTTGGTGAAACTATAACAATTCCTGTCACAAACACACCCCAGCACAACACCCCCACAATGGTTGGAGCTTAAATGTAGCCTGGCAAGAAATGTGTCAAAGTTTACTTTGGTAATAAAACTATAATGGCATTATTATGCATATGGAAGAAGGAAAATCTATTTTTATCATGGTCTGGGAGCTACCTTAGCTGTATAAGGCTAACATGGGATCTCCTCCTCAGACTGGTCTGCTCAGTGGTCTTGACAGATGTTGGCATTGGTCAAAGCTGGCCTCATGGACTCCTCATGTCTGTATCCCCAGAGCGCACGGGGTGCTTGAACAGGAACTGCTCTCAGTCAGTCAGTCTAGAACCAATGTTTGTGAAACAGGGGTTTCAAACTAGCAGGCTTAGATGCAGGGTCAGAGGTATGGAATTATGAAGCTTTGTCTGCTGTCTGAGATAATATAAAGGGGCACTTGGAAACAAGACAGTATCTGCTTTTGAGGCTTGTGAGAAGTGCTCTTCCAAGAAATCAAGTAGAGATGAATATATACTTTATGAGATTATCTTTCTCTTTTGGGATAAAAGCCTTAGAGTGGATTTCTTTCCCCTCTGTTTTACTTGGTAGTTTGTGTCATTTGCTGTTCTTGTAGAGTGATGTCAATCCCAGTCTAAACCATTCTGCTTTCTTCACAGCCTTAAGATTGATGGTTTAAGTAATCATCTCCATAAGCCAGTGATGTGTTGTAGACTGCAATTATGTCCTTTCATCTCTACAGGACTTCATGCTCAGATACTGACTCTATTTTGTTCAAGATTACATTAATTTTTCAGCTCCTCATAACACAAATTACTGGTTCTGAAAATATATAATTAACATTGGTCTCTAAGACGTTTAACATTAAAAAATGTCTTTGGGACAAGTTTCAATTTTTCTTATTTGAAGAGAAGTCTAAAAGTGATGTAGAAAATTTAGAATTTCCATTATTTAGAATTAAGATTGTTGCCAAAAATAAATAATTTTTAAATTTTGCTCTATGAGTAGATTTCATTATTATGAACATGTTATATCTAATATATTATTTAAAGCTGAATTTTTCCCCACATGATAAATTAAACCTAATCTTAATAATGGTATAAAACTTAATTTTTTTAAAATAGACATTGTCATTGTTTCTATTATTTTTATGTTCTTAAGCTCTTTTATTGATATAGTTTGTTATGGCTACAAAATAAGTAACTGAAAACAAATTATGCCTAGTATTTTCTACAAGTATGTCCATTTATAATTCAGTTTCCCTAGCATATGCTTGGAAATATAGGAGTAGGCATTCTGCTTCCAAGCAATATTCTACCAAGAAGACATTCTACCATTTTCATATATAAGGAGGCATCCCTTGATTCCTTTCCCATCTAACTGTGGGCATGCCTGGACTTGACTGAGGTTGTGGTCACTAATAGCCTGTAATCTCTACCCTCATTGTCTGTACCCTGCCTGACTCACACATGGTTGCCACACACTTGATAGGAGTATGCAAATCTACATCTGGAGTTGACAAGAAAACAAGAGAGGCATTTGCAAAGCATAGTGAAAGGAAGACATCTTTGCTCAGCATTCTTTAAAATACTCTCATTGTCTTCAAAGGAAACCCAAACTTCTTTTGTATAAATAATTGCCACATATTGAGCTCTAACTCTATGACACTTGTTTTTTTCATTTCATTTTCCAACAAATATATGTGGCTAATATTATTGTTGATGACATTTTACAAAGGAAGGGAATTAGGCGCAGGGTAATTAATCACCTGAGGATATTTAGTAATAGTTACAGCTGAAATTCAAATCTAAGCCTCTCTGACAACAGAGGTTGACCATTACGCATCTACACTGCAGCTCCTTCCCTGAACATCAGCCCATTCCACACTGCAGCCAAGTTGGACAATTCAGACTCTGTAAGCTACTATTGGAGAAAGAATGTCAATTCCACAAACAAAGAATGTCAATTCCACAAACATTACTTAGATTCGTAGAACAGGATTTCTGTGATCCGTATGTAGTTCACAATCTCAACCTCTACTTTATATCATGCAATACTTATTTACACAGCTGATTTTTTTTCTAAAATACATTATTTAGGCTTTTGCTTTTTCAGACTAAAAAATTATAGTTACAAACCTAGATAATATGTGCTTGAAGACAAGCATCCATATAAAGTGTTGGTACAATTCTCTAACTTTTCTAACAATCCCTAAGAACTAGCAAAAACCATACTTCCAAGAAGTATTCAATATGGATGTTTCAATATATGGTTAATAACATATATTTAGGGGTCTGCTTTTTTTGGTCTAAATATCCAAACTGTCTTGATGTTTAGCTGAAGGAACCAGTAGTTTTAGAGGTTTCATTGGCTGATTTCTTATCAGAACAAAAACTATTTAGAAATGATTATAGCAATGTTAGAAAGACATGTTATTTGTACATGACCCTACTGAAATCACAAATTTTCTTTTCTTTTATATTTCAAATAACACAAATCTTGACAGTAAGTCTAATCTTGCAGATGAGTCATTTGATGATTCTTCAACTCCACACATCATATCCATTAAATTTCCTGTTATTTCACATTTATCAGTAAGGCAAAAGGAAGTAAAACTATAAAAAGGAAAAATAAGTCAATAAAATAAATTCTAAGTGAAAATAATCTATTTGTGGTTTGATATAAGATTATACTATACAGAGTTGGCAACGTTTAAGTTTCTCTAGAAAACCAATGAAAAATAATAATTGGTTGTATTTAGTAAAAATTCTGATGAACACTTTGTGTATTATAAGGTCATTTGTCTAAATCTAGTACTCATTTTAATTTAACTTTTCAACTTTGTTCATACGACTGAATACAAAGGAATTTCTTTTTCTGAGGATTTATTTTAGGTTCTTATGAAATGTCACTCATTAGTCTTAAAGTAAATGTTACACTTTATTTAGTGTATAAAATATCATAAATATTTTAAATGAATTTTTAAATATTGTTAATGAAATAAAAAATATTTCAACACATATATTTTTTCCTTTAGTGTTTGAATATTCCATTTCCTCTGTTCTCCTCAGCCTTAAAACAAATGGAATATAATTTGATTTCATACAGGAAAATAAGCTATAAAAAGTTACTCTGTATATTCTTGGTAGATTTTTACTTAACATTTTATGAAAACACAGGCCTTTCATTTCTCCTCAATGAGAAAATTATTAGATGAAAATTCTTTTTCAAAATATCTACATATGAAATTAGTAATAATTTTGATAGTCATAATTTTTAAAAAGAAACTTTAGTAATTGATATTTGATATGAAGTGAGTTTTGGATATCAACCTAGTATATCATATATATGAATTCACTTTAAATAGATTCTCATAAAATGTCTTTCTTGTTTTTACTTTTCTCACTTTTATTATTTATTTATCATTGCAGATTAAAAAAATCAACAGAAACTTTCCTGTAAACCAGCAGGTAAGATGCAGAAATATTTAAAAAGTCAAATCATATATTTTTTTGCTTTTTTATTATAAAAATTAATGTTGGTTGCGTTTAATTTTTGTGGAAATAATTGGTACTATTATGTGCTATTTTCAGTAAGATACATAGTTTATTAGATTTTCTACATATCATGTGATATATCTCTCTCTCCAGTCATGTTAAAAGTAGTTAAGAGAAAATTTAACTAAGCAAACTAAGTCAAAACTATTCTGGACAATATAAACATATTTATTTGAATATAGTATTAATGAACATGGAGAGATACTCATACAAAAAATTTTCCTTTATCTTAACCTTTGGAAGACCAATATTTAATAGCAAAGTTAAGGGGAATTTTCAGAACTGCTTGACGATGAGTCTAAATTAGTGCATGGAAAATAAAAATGATTTCTGATTAATCAAACAAAGAATTTAATTGACTTATTAGACTAATAATTGAGTACAGAATAAAGTAATTACCAGCGTACTTGATGATACTATGGTTTTGGTTCCAGACCACTGCAATAAAGTAAATATTGCAATAAAACAAGTTAAATTAGTTTTTGGTTTCCTAGCATATAAAAGTTGTGTTTACACCATACTGTAGTCTGTTAAGTGTGCAACAATGTATGTCTATAAAAAGAAAAAATACTGTATTGCTAAAAAATGCTAACCATCATTTGAGCTTTCAGAGAGTTGTGATCTCACAGATCACCATAACAAATATAACAAAAAAGCTTGAAATAATTACCAAAATGTGACACAGAAACACAAATGTGCAAATGCTGTTGGAAAAATGGTGCCAATAGACTGTCTTATTTGGTGCAGAGTTGCCACAAACTTTCAGTTTGTAAGAAACACAGTATCTGTGAAGCCCAATTAATGGAAGCATGCCTGCATAGAAAGTAGTAACTAGTTCCACTTGTAGTTTCATCATGGTAAACTTAACTTTTGTATTGTTTACACAAACATAATAAAAATATTATTTTCAATGGAAAAATTAAGCATAAGCTCAGGTTTTGGGTTCATGCAAGTCATCACATAGCAGGAAGCAAAGATACATATTTCTTACTGTTGAATAAACCTCAGCTTGCAACCGTTGAACAAAATCTATGAATCTAAAGTATGTGTTATTAAATGGTACAGCAATCACAAGTGAATTTCAATAGTAAAAATTTTTAATATCCTTCAATTTATGAAAATGAAGTTACCTCATCTGGAGTATGTCTATAAGTGCACCTACGTTACATGTTTATTTTTGAGAATTCAGTGATAACAAATGTAAAGTTCTCAATAAATGCCATATTATTAATAATGTGTGAAGTTTAAACTTGCTTTTGGAATACAGAGTTCATATTTTTGTATAAATTATGTCATTAATGATGCCAGTAGCCTAGACTAGCTTGCAAAACCATGCCTGACTGAGATACTAATAACAACTTTAGAGAGCTCAGCATGTCCACAATATTCCAAATGAAGGCTTTCCTGCCCTAGATACACTCTGCCTCTGACATGCAGGTTCTCATTCCTGGGCCAGGTTGGTGTTTTGGAGGGTGCAGAGTTTGGAGGTGTATGTGTTTGCATGTGAGGACTACTGTATCCTGAGGTCACCAGGGCTCTAGCCCGGAGCTTCTGATTCGCTAGCTCTGTGATGTTGCCTGGGAAACTAGTTCTGTAGCTTCCATTCCATCCCAGGTGATTCTGGTGCCGAGAGTTCACAGGTAACATCTTGGGAAACACAGTTTAAAAATTTCAAAGGGCTGAAGTAGAGAAAAAAGATCATTCATGAGAAATTCAAATAGAAAGAAGCATCAGCCATGGGAGAAAGCTGTAATACCCACCCTCGGACACGGCCATTTCATAGTCAGATGTATGCAATATAGATGTACTCATTTGTGGAAATCTGAACAAAAATACAAACAAATGTTTCTTTAAGAATGACTCTATTATCTGTTATCACCCTCCCTTGCTCTTTCTAACCTCACATGTGAAGTATTAATAATTACTGTGATTTACATTCCTTGGAGTGTTTTATAACCCTGATACCCCTCAGCTATCCTTCGTTTATGATGACAACTCCATATAACACTTCCTATACATTCCCCCCATGTCTAGTAGTACCCTTGATATTCCTGCATTTTCTAGGTTTCCAACAATACTGAGTGAAGCAAATAAGAATCTGAAAAAGTTTACACTTAGAATAAATAATAATAAAAATTTCATATTGCAACACACACTTACATATAATAATATATATAGAGAAGCATTAGTATAGAGGTTTTTATTTGCTAGTCTCTTAGTGTTAATTTACTGATATTTAATTTCAAATCTCTTAGCAGCTCACAATTTTGAAGTCATAATGAATTCTTCTTGGCACTTTAAAAACTGAAAGCAAGAGCTAATAGATTTTTTTCCCTTACTACTTTCCATCATGTAAATGAAGACTTTCAGGAAATAGGATCAGTTTATGATTCAACTTTCATATATGTGCACAGTTGGAAAAAAAATCACCTGCATAGTGTGGTAACAATGCAGTAGGAGACCAGTATATTTTCCCTACTTAATAAAATCTGAGCGACTTTAAGGAATAAAAGTTTGAGCATATATAATCTCATTTCTCCTCCATATTTAGCATTCAGATAGGACTTTACCTTGGACTAAACCATGTTGTGCTGCTTTCATCTCAGATTTCTTCCTAACTTAATTTTCATGTAGAATTCTCTGAAGCTGAGATTAGATGTACATTTATATCCGTATGCATTATGCTTTCAATTAAATAATTCAGGCATATCTTAAAATAGTCAAGTGTTACACAATGAAAATCAAACCCCCTCATATTCCTGATGCTCTAGGTCTCAAAAAAAGAAGAAAAAAAAAAGACATCATCCAAAATACATTGGAAAAGAAGTCTCCTTTTGGTGGGGCTTGGTTTTGAAAGAGTGGTACCCATGTATGCATACCCCAGAGAAATTAAAATAAAAAAAGAAACATGAAGGGGTCTGAGACTGGAGAAAGTCACTACTTTCCAGCAAAAGCCAGTGCTACAAATCAGCTTCTTTCGGACACTCCTACAGTACAGAATGCATGAGACTTTCAGTAAAACCACCCTCACTGACAAAGAGATTTGAATCTGAATTATAAACCATTGAGGAAATAAACCATACTAAGGGAAACCATAGTCCAGAGATTAAAGAGGAAACCACAATTATTTTTAATTGTCATTTTTAAAAAAATCAAAGAATGGAAATTGTAAGTCAAAGACAGGACATGGTCTTAAAAACTGTGGATCTGCAAAAGAGCCAAATAGAAGTTCAAAAATGAAAAAAAAATGAGTGTATTTAAAATTAAAACAAATTGAATAATAGAATGAAGATGAAGATAATATATGTAATTGGAAGTATTATATCTGAGAATATCATCATAATTAACACACAGAGAAAAGGGTGAAAATATAAAAGATAATATAAGACATGAAGTAATTTAGAATGAGAAGCTCAAAAAATTATTCTGCAGAAAGCCCAGAGGAAATGTCTGAGAAGCGGTTATGAAGAAAGAAGAAGGCGAAGAGTTTCTATGAGTTTTCAGATTAAAGAACCGAATTTAACTCTGAGCAGGATGAACAGAAACAAATCCACACCATCAAAGGACCTGAAACAACCTAGATATCCAATCAGGATGACACTGCAGCCAGTCATTAAAAGGATGAGCTAGCTCTATTGATGCCGGCGTAGAAGATAATCGAAGAAAGCTTATTAAGTGGCCATAGCAAAGTGAAGAACAGGAAATAAAGTAAGGTAGTATTTTGCAACAACAGGTTTGGAATGATTCATACACATATTCTTGTGCAGAAATGAAAAAAAAAATCTCAAGAAAATGCCCAAGAATCTGGTAAAGGTGTTTGTGGGGGAAAGTATTGCAGCCCAGTCTCCTTTCCACTTGAGAATTTCAGGCCCACGTCTATATGCTCAATTTCTATGCCTTTCTCTGTAAACTCTTTCATTTCAGCTTCTACTCACTCTTTTAAGTTCCCTAACTGGTGCATGTTTTCTTTTGAGATCAGATTTGTGTTAACTCTCTTGTTACTCCTATTACATCTTATTTTGCATTTCTATAGATTGGAATCAGCTCCCTCTACCCTATTTATTAGAGGTCCTCTGGCTTTTGGTCTTTTCTATTGGATAGCTGGAGAAATTTATATGCTCTCCATTTAAGACGAACTTTTAATATTATGTGTGATGTTGAACATCTTCAAACGACTTTGGCATATACTTTTATATATACATCTCCATATTTTGAACATGTTCCTATATTTTTCCTATTGTTTCCTTATTTATTTGTAAGCCCTGCATACTCATCACTTGAAGGAATTTTACCCTTAGTGTTTCAAAGTAGCCTAAATTAGCAATTTCTTATGGCTCATAGGATTTGTGTTATGCTTAGAAAGATTTTATCATCTCAAGGTTAATAAAAGAAAAAAAACTCCGTTGTTTATTTCTAGTAAAGCAATGTTTTTGATTTTGCATTAAACAGTGGGCTGCCATAGGCCCTTAGGCATCTGTCTTACTTAGGCAGCACAATGTGTGTTATTCTCTATTAACCCATCCTCCCTCAACCAGCCCAGACCTGACTATAAATTCCTGAAGGTAAATATATTAGTCCTTCTAGTTTCCTTAGTTCCTTTTACAGTGCTTTACATATCATGATTTTTTAGAGGTCTCCATGTAAAAGTGTTTGAAATACATTTAAATAAGAAATATGGTTAAAAAAACTAAAACTTGATCAAATTTAAAACTTCCACTTTCCAGAAGAGACTCTTAAGGAAAGAAAAATACAGGGCACAGATTAAGATAAAATATTTGCAAATTATATGTCTAATAAAGGACTTGCATCTAGAATATGTTTTTTAAAAACTGAAAACTGAATATTTAGAAAATAAACAATGCCATAAAAAGAAAATGTGCCAAGATTTGGGCACTTCACCAAAGAAGTACATG